ATATATATATAAATAAATATTTTATTATTATGGGATGATTAGAAATTATTTTTCTATGACCTTTAAACTATTTATTAAATTATAGGTGGAGATGTGAAGATTTTAGAAGTTAAAAGCCAAATTAGATGGTCATTCAAGTGCTGTTATTTCAATTTGTTACAAATTAGATGGTCTTGATGATTATGTAAGAAAAATTTATTACTTTCTTGATGGTTAACATCTGGTAATTCAGATCACTCTTATGGGATGTTAGGACAGGATAATCGAAAGCCAAATTAGATGGTCATTCGGATGCAGTCAATTCAATTTGTAACTTTACTCATGGTACTATGGAATGTTGAGGCAGGATTACAAAAAGCCAAATTAGTTGGTCATTATGGAACAGTTTATTCTATTTTTTACTCTCCTGATGGTACTCACATTTAGTAGTTCAGATGACTCTTATCCATATATGGGATGTTTAGACAGAATAATAAAAAGCAGAATTGATGCTAATCACATTTGTAAGAACAATTTATTACTCTCCTAATTATGCTGCATTAACATTTGGTAGTTCAGATATGTCATTCCGTTTATGAGCTGATAGGACGAGTTTATAAAAAGCCAAGGTCATTTATCAACAGTTTATTCAATCTGTTACAAGTCTATGATAAAAAAAAAAATTAATAAGATGGTCATTCAAATACAGTTTATTCAATTTCTTACTCTCCTTATACTAGCATCTGGTAGTTGGGGATGTTAATAATACTCCAAATTGAATGGTCAAAAAAATACAATGTATTCAATTTGTTACTATCTAAATGGTACTACCTTACTATATGTTTATGGAATATTAAAATAGGAAAATTAAAACATTGATTTTGATGGCCATTCAAGTGTAGTTAATTGAATTTGGTGCTCACCTATGGTACTACATTGCATCTGCCAGTGCTGATAAGTCTATCGTTTATGAATGTTAAAAAAGGATAATAAAAGCCAAATTAGTTTCAATTTATTACTCTCCTACTAATGGTATTTTATTATCATCTGGTAGTTTGGAGAACTTGATCTGTTTTTTTGGGATGTTAAGACAGGAAAAAATAAATGCCAAATTAGATGGTCATGAAGAAGCAGTTAATTCAATTTTACTCTCCTTATAGTATTACATTAGCATCTTGGTAATGATGATAAGTTTATCCGTTTATGACATGTTAAGACATATGATAATAAAAAGCAAAATTAGATGGTCATTCCAATACAGTTCAATTTTAACTCTCCTTATGGAGATGCATTAGCAACTGGTAGCGATGATAAGTCTAACCGTTTATGGGATGTTAAGACAAGTTAATAAAAAGCAAAATTAGATGGATATGCTGAAATAGTTTATTAAAATTTGTTACTCTCCTTTAGTACTACATTAGCTTTGGGTGATAACTATATCTGTTTATGGGATTTTAAGACCAGATAATAACAAGCCAAATTAGATAGTCATTCTGGAATAGTTTATTCAATTTTTTTATCTGTTTTTCGAATGTTAATATAGGATAAAACTAAGATAGATGGTCATATGTTAAGCCAATATTATGGTTTATTCAATTTGTTGCTCCCTAAAATTACATTAGCATCTGGTGGTTTTTATGCCACATTGAGATAGGATAATAAAAAGCCAATAAATTGGATGGTCATTAATATGTAGTTTATTCAATTTGTTACTCAACTTGATAGTATTACATTAAAATCAGGTGGATGTCAATTTGGTGGAGATTGTATCATCCGTTTATAGGATGTCGGACAGAATAATAAAACGCCATATAAGTGCAGTATATTCTGTTATCAGCCTGACGGTACTACTCCTTAAAATACATTACAACTTGTAGTTTAGATAACTAGCCCTTTTCTGCTACAAGAATAATACAAAGTCAATAAATTGCTCTCCATTTGGTAATTCATTGGTATCTGGTAGTTTGATAACTCATTCCGTTTATGAATAAAAAGGCAAATCTTTTTCCCCTATTCTTTGTTTTATGTGTTGTTAAGATAGGATAATAAAGAACAAAAATATTATATAGTTCTGCAAATTTTATTTTTTTGATTACTCTTTTGAATTCAACATAGTTTGAGTTTTTTCAGAAGATTCTTGAATATTAGTAGCAGTTGTCTGAATGTTTAGTATATTGAAATTTTTTATAGAAGATTTTTTGAAATGTATTAGGAATGATTTAGAAAGCATTGGGAAATTTCTAGAAGCCTGTTGGAAAGTAGAGAAGGTTACGGAATATTTTTGGAATCTTTTAGAATGCTCTTGAAAATTTTTATCTTTTGAAAAAGTTATAGTATGTTATTTGAATTCTTCAGAATGCTCTTGGAGTGATTGAGTCGCTAATTGGAATGTTTTAGAATGTCCTTTGAATGTTAAAGAATATTTTTGGAAAGATCTAGAATGTTCTTGGAAAGTTCTAGAATGTTAAAGAATGTTCTTGGAATGTTCTAGAATGTTCTTCAAATGATCTAGAATGTTCTACAAATGATCTAGAATGTTCTTGGAATGTTCTAGAATGTTCTTGGAATGTTCTAGAATGTTCTTGGAATATTCTAGAATGTTTTTGGAAACTTCAAGAGTGTTCTTGAAAAGTTTTAGAATGTTCCTTTAAAAATTTTATAATGCTCTTGTAAAGTTCAATGTTCTTGGAATGTTCTAGAATGTTGTTGAAAGGTAGGACAATGTTCTTTGAAATGTGTTTGTTAATTTTGGAGTGGCATTTTTTTAAGTGGGGATGTTTTTTTTAAGGCCTTATTTTTTTTTTTGGCCTATACAGGGATTTACATTTTGGCGGGATTATATTTTTTTTCCAAGATTTTTTTTTTACTCAAAAATTTGTAAATTTTGGATTTTTTCACTTCAAAAATTTTGGCTAGCCGCAACTTGGCCCTGGCCTTTGTTTTTTATTTTCATCATTTTTTCCTTTGAAAAAGTAACAAAAACCCCTAAAATCGCTATTTTTATGCTTAAAAACCTTTCAAAATCGTTAAAAACATCGTTTTCTGCATTTTCATTCACCTCAAAAGTTGTTAAAAATGCCCTTTTCTCACTTTTTTATGTAACTTAATTAATGTAAAACCTGGTTTTTCGGGTTTTTTTTAAACCCAACTTTGACACAGTAAAGGTGTTGGCCCCAACCGTACAAGGACTGTCGGTATTTTTTTTTTACTCGTTTAATAGTAAGAAAAAAACACGGACAGTGGTTCTACAAACCC